AAAGTTGACAATACTTTATTTATGAAGAAAGGAGGAAGAACTTTGTTGATGGTGCAAGTCTATTTTGATGATATTGTGGTCATGGTGCAACTTTATTTTGGTCATTGTGATATTTGGCTAAGCACATTTAACCTCTAAATATTAATTCAAATGTGTGAGTTTGGTCCCTTTATATAGGCAATATCTTATCTTTAGACTATTTTCAAAATCTAATTAAATATAACAGCTAAAAAACTCATTAAATTTATGAAAATTCACAAGCATAGGAATCAAAAGTGCACACTATAATTAATAGAAAGTTATATATGCTTAACCACACATCTCAAGGACCAAAATCAGACTTTACTAATAACCGAGGGACCAAAAGTACTATTATTCTTGCACTAGGATATTAGATTTTTATTGCATTTAAATATGAAATACACTATTGAACTTCATCATTTTGGGTAAACAAAATTTATTTAGCTAAAAATATTATAGTTCCAGCAAAATTCCTTTACAAATTTTAAAAACAAAGTCTAAAATATGTTATGTTGGCTAATAAAAAACAACAACAACCCAGTATAATCCCATTTAGTGGAGTCTGGGGAGGGTATTGTGTACGCAGATCTTACCCCTACCCTGGGAGTAGAGAGGCTGTTTTCAAATAGACCCCCGACATCTTTCTCTCCAATAACTTCCCACCTTACTCTTGGGGAGACTTGAACTCACAACCTCTTGGTTGGAAGTGGAGGCTGCTTACCATTAGAGCAACCCCTCTTGTCTAATAAAAATTATTCGAATAAAAGAGTTTCGACCAAATTCTTTTTTATAGATTTGGCTCGAAAAAAAAGGAAATATGAAATTCAAAAATAGCCAGATTTACAAGCGGTCATTCAAAAATAGCCACAGTTTTAAAAATAATCGAAATTTAGCCACTGTTCATGTAAAGATAAAAATCTGAACGAAAACACTATTCAAAATATGAAAAATACTCCAGCATAATATATATATTGGAGTTTTAGTATAATATACCGGTCCAGCATAATATACTGGAGTTTGGAGCACCGGTGCTCCAGTCTCCAGTATATTATACTCCGCCAGCAAAGTATACCGGTCCAGCATAATATACTGGAGTTTGGAGCACCGGTGCTCCAGTCTCCAGTATATTATACTCCGCCAGCAAAGTATACCGGTCCAGCATAATATGCTGGAAGTTCATACACAGGTGCACCGAACTCCAATATATTATGCTGGACCGGTCTCTGTTGTAGCAAAATAGTGGCTTTTTTTATTGACTTGGTAAACGCTAACTATTTTTGAATGACTAGTCTGAAAACTGGCTAGACCCCTGCTATTTAGCCGGAATAAAGATATGCACAGTTGGACTCCATGATTATGGTAAACGTTTTTCATTTAGATAAAAATAATAGAGTTCTAGCTTAGTTATATACTCCCTCCGTTCCAATTTATGTGAACCTGTTTGACTAGGCACTGAGTTTAAGAAAAAGTGAAAGACTTTTGGAATTTACGGTCCTAAACAAGTTAAAAAAGGGCCCAGAGAATTTATGTGGTTATAAAAGCTTCTCATTAAGGGTAGAATTGTTAAGCTAAATTGTTTCCAAATTTAGAAATAGTTTATCCTTTTTGGAACGGACCAAAAAGGAAATAGGTTCACATAAACTGGAACGAAAGGAGTATATAAATTTGGCTCGAAAAAGAAGAATTACACACCGAAACAAATAATCATTGCATCTGAAGAAAAGAAACAAGAAGATATACAGATTTGGAACAAATAAATCATTGTATATGTTTATGTGTTAATTAACGGATGGAAAATTACCCACTTTGAAGTCGATTTTTCAATCTTTTCACTCTCACGCGCCTATAAGAAAGTTTATTTACACTCTTTGTCACGTCAACATCTCGGAGGTCAAGGCTATTAAATTGTTAGGTTCAGGGGTGGTGGTGGGGGTAATCAAGACAAAAATTAGTTTCGGTGTGCATTGAATAAGACGTATCAAATTAGTTTCGGTGTGCATTGAATAAAACGTATCAAATTAGTTTCGGTGTGCATTGAATAAGACGTATCAAATTAGTTTCGGTGTGCATTGAATAAAACGTATCAAATTAGTTTCGGTGTGCATTGAATAAGACGTATCAAATTAGTTTCGGTGTGCATTGAATAAAACGTATCAAATTAGTTTCGGTGTGCATTGAATAAGACGTATCAAATTAGTTTCGGTGTGCATTGAATAAAACGTATCAAATTAGTTTCGGTGTGCATTGAATAAGACGTATCAAATTAGTTTCGGTGTGCATTGAATAAAACGTATCAAATTAGTTTCGGTGTGCATTGAATAAGACGTATCAAATTAGTTTCGGTGTGCATTGAATAAAACGTATCAAATTAAACGGGTTCCGAGATATTGTGCCAAATATTTTTGATACACTAAATATGGAAGCAAATAAGTTCATGTGGCATTTGAAACCCCATGGAGGGTTATGTATTGTAAAAATGCTGCTCTTTATAATACTAATATTCCAAGAGATTGGTGAACTTGCAGGAACTATGTGCAGGAGGTGGCTCAAAACGTTGAGGATATGTTAGATCAGCTAACAAGTATCAAGAGAGGAGGGGATCTGAATGCTGTCAAGATTGAGACACTTGAAATGGAGCTAAGATTTTTTACAACTTTTCTCGAATACCATCATGTTCTTTTGCCTGATTCATTTGTCAATATCGCAACGAAGGTCCAATTGATCGGGGAAATGATTCAATCAGTTTTTGCTGATCTTAATGTGGAAAGGCTAGCATCACATTTGCTGAAATTCATTAATGAAGAAAAAACCAGTTCAAGGTTCAATTATGAGCTGGATAATTCCTATCTGTTAGAATATATGGATTACCTCGACAAGAATCTAAATGATGTGCCGAGGTATCTAGTCAAGTCTGACCCTTTTTTAAGGAAAGGAATGTTTATCCTTCAAAAGACAGATCGATTTTTGAAACAGGTGAAATTCATTCAAAAGAAAATGAGGTTTCTAAGATACTTATATGGCATAGAAATAAATGGTCACATTGACCATGAGAAGCAAAAAAGATTGGAGATCCAAATGCAAGTCGTGGCTGACAATGTGGTACATTTTTGTGTTACTCTTTGGACTAATGAAATCGATACATCTAATATCGAGAATAAGCCTTCTTATTTAATATGCCTGATTGTGCTAGTGGAGCTGGAGATGATGAAGATTTTTCATCTTATTAGATGTTTGCTTTCGATCTCAAATTAACAAGGATGTGTTGTTGCTTAGGCAACTACAGCAAAAGCACAGACAGAGTGGAGGAGTTCTTTCTTAGCGAATTGTTGTAGTCATGCTGGAATCTCTTATGCAGCTGGCTTCTAATGGTTGTAGAACAGTTGATTTCTTTTTTGCTTTTGTAGTTTCACTAAGTTTCTATGATCCTTTCATCTTATGCATTCTATGTTGCACCCGCAAAATTAACCTCGTTTAAAGAATGAAGCTAATAAGTGTGTTCTTTAACATTCATCATTAGTACTTTTAAGATATTCACTGATTAATGATATTTTGTTCTGACAAAATGGGTAGCTGGTTACAATGTTTTTCTATATACAAATTGGTGTAGCAGAGACAACTTCAGCCAAGCACACAAAGTGAACAAATTTGAGGTATGTATATACAAAATATATGTATAAAAAATATACATTTTTTCGAGAGGCTATACAGTGTCATTTTTCCAACGAATTTGACAACTACAGGATAAAGACTAGATAGCCTTTCTTAGAACAAAACAATCTTAAGCATAGGAATTAAGATTTAGAAGGAGATAGTCTTTATATATAGGATAATCTACGTGGTATACCCATTGAAAACATCAGTTTGAAGAGAGAGACTTTACGCTTACTTTTATATATAGACAAGACCTTATTTCGTGCCTTGATTTCCTCTTCTTTGAGCTTGAAATCTCTTATAGAAACTTCTGTTACTCTCTTAAAATCTTCTTTGAGCTTGAAAAAACATATGTTTTCAAAAAGAAAATAAAGCTTGACATTTGTTTTCTTGATTTCCTTTGCTATCACTGAAATATGAAAACTTTATTTCGAGCAGAAAGTTTGATTTTCTGAATATTGAGCTGTATTTTTTTGAGGTGCGCTTAGTAGACAACACAACATGATGAAGAAAACTCTTAACTTGAAGAAATAACTTGTTTGAAGAAAAACAAGTTAAGCTACTTGCAAAGAACAATGTGTTATGAGATAATGTACAAATTTGATAGAGATTTGGCTATAACTTGAAGAGTATTATTTTGTTTTTCTATATTATCTCTTAGTTTTTTTTAAGAAATCTTTTAGACTCTAGTAATACATATATCTTGTTCATTGTACGAGTAGGAATTATTTTTTGATTTTTGGTTCGTAAATAAAACATTGTGAAGCAGTATTGTAGCAGAAGATTATGGATTAATTAGCACACAGGTCACAAACAAAACAACAACAACTATCCAGTATAGTCTCACAAGGTGGGGTCTGGGGAGGGAAATATGTACGCAGGCCTTACTCCCACCTGAAAGGATGGAGAGGTTGTTTCCAATCAACCCTCGGCTTAGAAAAAGAAAAGGAAATATAGAAACAAAAACAAAAGAGTATTAGTAGCTCCAGCAGAAATCACGATACATAATTATGTAAGCATAGACCATAAGTAACATGAATTAAAAGGGCATCCACAAATATAAATTTAGCCACATTCAGTAAATAAAATGGAATGCAGTAACAACGACCACTAACTAAAAGCCCCTATCCTACAACCCTGATATTAGACCTCCAGACTCTCCTATCAAGGGCCATGTCCTCGGAAATCCGCATACTAGCCATGTCATGCCTAATCACCTCTCCCCAATACTTCTTTGGCCTCCCTCTGCCTTGACTAGCGCCAACCACCTCCAAACGCTCACAACTCCTCACCGGGGCATCTGGGCTTCTCCTCCGCACATGCCCGAACTACCTGAGCCTCGCCTCCCGCAACTTCTCATCCGTCGAGGCCACACCCACCTTTTCCCGAATAACTTCATTCCTAATCTTATCTAACCTGGTGAGCTCACACATCCACCTGAGCATTCTCATCTCCGCAACCTTCATTCTCTGCACATGAGATTTCTTCACCGGCCAGCACTCAGCCCCATACAACATGAAAGGTCTAACCACAGCTCTATAGTACTCCCCCTTGAGTTTTTGACACTTTCTTGTTACACAAGACTCCTGATGCAAGCCTCCATTTCGACCACCCTGCCCCTATACGATGAGTGACATCTCCGTCGATCTCTCCATCCCCTGGATCACCAGCCCCAGATATTTGAAAATGTCCCTCTTGGCGATAGCCTGAGATCCAAGCTTCACGACCCTGCCTACTTCTTCTTTGCTCGACTCTGCGCTAAACTTACACTCCAGGTATTCTATCTTAGACCTACACATAAATTGAAAACAAATAGATAAGAAAAAGTTACACATAAATTGAACGACATTCAGCTAATTAGCTTAATAAATGGGCAAAAGCAAAGAGTAGAAGTGTATATTATAAACAATCCCAACCTATAATTTTTATATATAGATTCCAAGTAGTCTTAGAATTATAGGAGAATGGTTTTTCAATCCTATAAGGACAGTAGCTTTTTCTTTCCCAAATACATTAGAATAATAATTTCCCAAAAATAGCTTTCTCACCTCAATATTTATGTAAGTAGAAACAAACTCCAATGTGATGTTTTAGTTAATTTGCATCTAATGGTTGTTTGATGGATGTTTCTGCCAGTGGTGAGTCAAGCACATGTGATGTTTTAGTGTCTTAATTTGCATCTACTGGTTGTTTGATGGATGTTACTGGCAGTGGTGAGTCAAGCACGTGCTTGTTGCAATAACATGGTATAGTTTTCAGTTTTTCTT